AAAARRWWAWKKWAAWWAAAAAMGTTGGTTTTCATGCATGTGTTCACTCTACCAAACAATAATTGRGTGCACTCTTGTCATTGCAACTATCAGGCCTACCCTGTTTTCATCATCAGGGCCACCATGGTCCCTATTGTAGGGGTTAAAATGGTCACCAGTGCTATGAAATGAGAGAACAATGACTAAATTTTAACAAGGAAAATCTCTAAAATCAATATATTTACTGCACTCTTTTCTCCACTCATGACTGTCAATGAAAATAACACCTGTATATGAACATTACTGAAGATTACCTGTTGCACCCATTGGACAAATCYCCAAACTCATGAATATGAAAGCCGTGAAGACCAGGAGATAAGCCATCAATGGTTCCATCAATTACACAGTTTTCTCTTGTTACCTAGTAATTTAAACATTAATTGAATATAAAACATTCAGTATTATTTGATGGTGCATGTTGTACCTGGACAAATCTGGTCAGTCCCTTGGTACCATTACTTCCACTCATCATAGCTACAGCTGCTCCTAGATGCTCTGGCTGGCTGTCTATTACAAGGATATAGAGCAAGGAATAAATGATAATGATCAAGTTTCATCAGCTAAACATTAGATATATACCTCCTCCAGATCCATGGCCTCTGAGAATTGTCTTTAGCCCTGTAGTTTCTATGAGTTCTTGAACTCTTCCTGATGCCAAAACAGTATCCACRACTACCCTCTCCTCACCAAGATCAACTGAGTATGACTTAATTCCTGGTAAGTCGAGGGAAAGTCAATTTAATATTAATCTGAAACATTTTTGCACTAGCTCTCTAAAGGGAATTGGAGACTATCTATTATATATTGCATTAAGAAGTTAGCCCACTTTCTTCCACCCAAGAGGCATATCTAATGTTGTCTGCACCCTCCAGGGTYTATATAGGGTTACTACCAATCAGTTGGTGTGGTGGTAAGTTCCAATGTTAGTTTTTGGGACTGTTGTTTTAAACAGAGTACATGTGCAGGGATGAATCCAGGGGGGTCACAGCGTGCCCGTGAACACCATCCCCCCTTTCCAGGCCAAAATAGTGTAAAAACCATAGATTAATATGACATCATATTGACAATTTGGTATGTAAGGACTGGCCCAATGAAAATCCTGGATTCGCCCCTGATGTAAGTTTATATAACGTATCATATTTTTTGGTACTACCCCTATTTTCAGCACCCCAGCCCTACCTTTGATTGTTCCACTGCAAAAGACATGCATATTTCAAGATAACAATGAAAAAAAAAAACAATAGGTATACTCAGTGCAATAGTAAATCACAATAATCGCAGATTGCCATGTTCTTACCATCAACACCTTCGAGAGCTGACTTTACTTTATCAGCACAGCTCCCGCACGTCATCTTGACTGCAAACTCAATCTGCACAAAAAAATACACATTTATTATCATAATATGAACAAAAACCAATCTTAAAGACGCATAAAATATTCATAATCATGATACCTTTGTGACTGTGGGCGAAGAATCAGCCATATTCGCAAAAATTAGACTTTTTTGGAGCAGTCGTCAACTATCATCCACTTTCATGTGTATTTTGTGGGAGCCCTATATGGAAGTTTGAACGAGAGGGCCTGGTGGACAGCACATGCGCACTTACACGTCCACGTGAAAGCCCGGGAAAAAGAAAATGGCGGCTTGCAGTGATGTTTCGCAGAAAGACAAGAAAGACGAACCTTTGCTCATATTTTACGACAGTGAAGCCGCTAATGGRAATGTCCATTACGGAGATTTAATTGAGATTGCAGCRACATGTCATCCAGGCGTAGTTGTTGGCTCTTTTGAGAGTTTTGTGGATACAAAACAGCAACTTTGCTCGTTTGGTGGGTATTGCTCGCAAAACATGCGTTCCTGTTGAATGCGTCAGAATGAAWATCTCATTAGTTKAGYGATTWTTTGACACAGACTCATTCAAGAAATGCTCGTAGCARCAAGTAGAGAAATTYTGGTGAAAAATTTAGCTYAAATGTTCCAGAGAGTTTCAGATCGGCAAAACAGCAATTTCCACTAATTTTGACATTGATTGGAATATTAAWCGCGATTCGTGGAAACCATGAATCAAACTACACTACTTCGATATTAAATGTTTATTTGAATTATTGAATATCAGTATTTTTGTGGTATCATTTCAGTTGAAATAAGTAGTTGCATATAATATTGGGATTCTGTTTTGTCTTTTTTTKAAATTTYATAATTCCAACGCGCGTGCATTATTTATTATTTTATAATGCTAAACCTCAGCAAAAATACAATCTGTGTAATCTAAAACTGAGAACATTTCCCTCTCTAATGCGAATTATATTTGGCAATTTTCTAGAATTTGCAATGTCTTCACGCTGTTTAGTCAATCGTCCATGAAGCATCGAAATCTTTGGAATTCTTTTCTTGCAACGAAAATATTGAATCATTTGTATCAGATAATCACTAWATATAAACGTAAATTTGAAGTGTGTACTTAATTTGAACATCTTTKTTATATTTTTTAGACAAAATATCCCATAAAATTATATATGAAAATTTCAAAAAATGAAATATGAATCACTCACTAAACTTCATAAAAAATATTATTAAATAGACTAATTTTCTTTTTTAAGAAAATACAAAATATTGTAGCAAAAAAGTAAGAAAAAAGGATTAGAAACAGGGCTTGTTCGGTTCTTTTTTTTTTCAGAAATACTCCATTTTCGAATTCAAAGTGAATAACTGCTGTTTTATTTGACAGCAGATTCTCTTATGCAAAGRGCTTACCGAACACAAAAGAGAGCATGAGAAAATGTTGTCAGTACAGTAGCGTTAACAATTTGCATTTTTCTGAGTTGAGGCTACCTCTATTCCCAGAAGGCTCATACTTTAGGTCTCATGGGAATACAGGGTTAGTCTCAACTCAGGTGAAATGCAAATTTTCAAAGCTATTGTAATAACGATATTTTCTGCAAGAGAATCTGATGTCAAATAAAATAGCGGTTTTTCGCTATGAATTCAAACCTGGAGTATTACAAAGCATCACATGCAAACGCATCCCAAGTCAAAGTTTTTCTAGTGTTTATTTTATTTTTTTTTAATATTAGCTCTATACCAGTCTGGTATCACTAAGCATGATCTCAGTGGCAAGCCTTCCATAGACAAGGTCATTGAGAAGTTCCTGGAATGGATCAGAGAAATGGTTGCTTTGGCAAATGAAAAGAATAAAGCCAGTTATTTTCCAGGTACTGTGAAAATTAGATATGCTTTATGTTACTTTAGTAAAAATGTGAAAAAAAATGTACTTTAAAAAATGAATATATTAGGTGTAGAGAAATAAGGCACCAAAACAGCTGAATACTCTTTTCACTTTCTATTTATGATTCCTTCTTAGTTAATAATAATTCTTTATGTCTTATTTTAGTGATCTGTGCTCATGGTGGATACCAYTTTGATTTCTTGATACTTTTCTCAAATTTGGAAAGAAAAGGGTTTCCTTACAAGAAGTTTTCTGATAATAATATACAYTTTGCTGATAGTTTYCTGTTCTGTAAAAAGGTGAGATATCTATTTATGCATTGATTTATTTTTCTAYCGTCATTGTAGCAAAACGTGTGACTGCYGGTRTATATATCATTAGGGAGCTCTGTAGGAAATTAATGATAGAACTCCAAACCAATAGAACTGTTTGAAATTATGTTTATTCTTGGGTTACGTCATCACAATTTTTATTTTACTATCATTTAAAAAAGACATTCATATCCCTTTATAGCACAAAAAGCTACATAGTTCATGAAAATTTTTTTAGGTCATTTGGTTGCAGAATTATTCGCAATTGAAGATTCACAAAATTTATTAAAAATGTAATGGGCGAAATCCAGGCGGTGGTCAACAGCTTTTATATCTTGAGAAGCAAAAAATTATATACACACATTTTTGTTCTTATATCTTTATATAACTCTTAGTTATAACCTATATAGTTAGCATCATCACACGATGCATATTTAGAGAATATAAATCTTTGTGACATCACATGAAACCCAAGAATTTAGGGCTTTGCAAACATATTGTGCAGATTCAAGGCTAAATTCAAAATATAAGCTACTCTATTATATTGTATAGATAGTGTACATGTATATGTTTATATGGTCAGAATTTCTTCACATAACTATAGTATTTTATTGATTTGTGTATCACTCATTGATGTTTATCAGCTTCAAGATGATGGAAATCCTCTTCTACAGAATACAAAGCTGTCAATTGATGGACTGTTTAACACMTTTTTCCCCAAACATACCATCAAAGGTACAAATGATGTTATTTTCTGTGAATACCAGGTCAATACCAGGCAGTCTTTTGTTGATAATTAATGTATTCGTAGTATGAGTTAAGTGATAATTAACAATTAGACCATGAGGTTGAGTGGACTACAAATTGATAGCCCATGAAGCCATACTAATCATGGTCTCAGGGCTCGAAATAACGGGCGGTCAAAGGACAATGTCCTTCCTTCCAAATTCACTAGATGACCTGACAAATCAGGTTTTGAAAGGACAAATTGACCTGCCACATTTTTAGACAAATCTATTCTCAATTTGCTAAATAAATATTTTACAAGCCATTAAAATGCTTGCCAATCTTTCTGAATACAAAAACGTATAAATTGAAAGAAATAAAGGAAATAATAGTTTATTACTAAAGTTTTTGTCCTTTCAAAACTTGACATGACCTTCCACAAATGAATTTGGAAGGACATCTTGTCCTGCATATGTCTGGCCGTTATTTCGAGCACTGGGTCTATTTTTTTTTACTATCCACAAAACTATGCGGCAAATTAAAAAAAAAGACCATACAGTAAATAACAATTTTTTTCTGGACATATTTTTGACTATTTTTTTCTTCATTCAATGCACTTAGATCATGGTATAACGTGAATATACCATAGTTCATTAGCCAATCAGAATGCTGGATTTATGATAGTACTGTACATAGTTTGGTGGATCCACATGTGCAACTATCTATTAACTGTGTGATATATTCRTTATAGGGCGTCATCGTGCAATGGGAGACGTAAAAGCAATGATCAAAATCTTTACTCAGACATCTCTAAAGAGTGAATTACATTCAATGAATTTCACTACCACCCAAGAAAGGTGTGTATTGMTAGTGCTGTATTAATGATGTGAAATGTAATATTGACCCCTTGCACCTTAAAAAGAAACCTTTGAAATAACATAGTCATTGTGCCAAGCTAATTTTAATAAAGTGTTATCTTATAATACTCTTTAAACTTTACTTTCCACATCTAGTTATCTGTGATACCTTTTCATTTTCATAGTCAAAGTACATGTAGCCCTCATAAACAATGACGTTAGCAGTTATTGTTTGTCCATAATTATTGCTCATGATATTGATTTGTCTTTATAGAATTGAATACTTCATTTCTCAGTCTTCAAGAAAACTACAGCAAAGAATTTTGGAAGGTAATTKTTTTGTGAGTGGTTTCATTTCCTACATTAATAACATAGAAGAAGAGCAAACTTGAAATGGGACTGTTAACAAAAGAAAGGTAGATTCGGAGGTCTTTCTGGTGTGCTATTGTGCAACATGTTGCATTTCATTTCGAACCCCATCCACCCCCCAATTCAACCTCCCATGCCCTGATCTTCTGATCTACCCCCAAAAATGTTTTATTGTTTTTTWACGATAATATATGTATTAGTTGTTTGTGCTTGATAAGTTTTGTTAAACAAGTTATGACAACAAGATATTTCGACATTCTTGAAAATGATGCGCGATGGCGTCGAAACGTCGAAATATCTTGTTGTTATAACTTGTTTAATATATGTATATTATCCAAAATGATGGTAACAAGTTTTTGTTCATGTACGATTTAAAAAAAGGGTTGATTGTAATTATATTCTACTTTCTTGTTTTACAGAAAAGATGGCTTCCTTGGACGCCTGCAGCAGAAATATGTGTTCCAAAACTCTTATCAAAGAAGGAATGACGTATGACGTCCTCAAGACTGTATTCCAACAATGCTCCTCTTATATGGACTTTTGGCAAACCCTAAAGAATGTGGGAATAGAGCGAAAAGTAGCAAAGCACTTCACTAGTCAATTTGGAGCTTTAGGGCTTCAGAATGAAGGCGCTCTGGGATATTGCTTGGATATCGCTAAACAAAATGGTGCAGCTGTTTCAAATGGGATGGATTCCCAAGAAAATGAACCAAAACATTCTTCTGGAAATAGTCATACTGCAGTCACCAATAGCTTAAAACCTTCAAAGACATATTCATCTCAAAACAATGAATTTTCAAAGCCTCCTCCTTCCATCAAAGACGTTCAAAATCCCAACGCACCTTGTAGTGGTAATTCACTTGTATCCGCTAGGTCAGTTAGTTCTTCTCAAGCATTTGAACAGCGTCCCATGGACTATGCTCTGACGTCTTCTTCGGAAGAGGTCCGTCCGAGAATATGTGATGCAAATGGTGTTGGGCGTGAACAGAACTCCAAGAAGGAGTCCGAAATCATCTCCTCTGAGACAAAGCATCCCACAAATCCTCCAGAATCTGGAAATTCTGAAGAGAGTTCCAGAGAGGATGAAAGTGAAAATTGGGATAGTGAAATATCGAATTCTGCAGGGAACAACGAGACRTTTGTGTTAAAGATCAATGATGTGATWCCAGTTAGCGTTGGAATCGATGACTTTTCSAGTGACAAATCCCATCCWAAGCGTCMAAAAAGAAACTCTAATAAAGATTCTGACCGTAGYGATAGACCTGCAGCAAGAAATWTCAAGACTGATGGAGTCAAGATCAAGAATTCAAGTGAATTTAATCGGAAAAGGAATTCAAACGTTGAAGGGACAAAGTCATCTTCTCAAGAAAGCAAAGTGTTAAAGTCAACATCAATCARTGAAGTTCGTAGCATTAAAGAGAATAGTAAAACCACCATTTCTGATGTAAATACACGGGAAAATTTGGATGGACTTCAAACAAATGAGGAGGGTAACATAAGGGAAYCTAAATCAAAGACAATACAAAATGTATTGGAAGAAACCGGGCATAAGGACACGAGTGACTATTCTCAAKTACAGGGAATAAACCATCCAGATGATCATAATTCTCAAGGTAGTTTCATCAAACAACGTYCAGGAAATATTAATCGAAGTGTTAYGAAAAACAACAAGAAACGAACTCAATCAAAAGACAAACGAAACAAGCAAATTTCGAATCAAACGAAGTCTGTTATCTTTCTTGACTTGCCGGGTTCTCCAGACTTCARGGGGAAGGATGCYACAAYTTTTTTCGTTGGAGATATTGAAATCYGTGTGCCTGTTGAAAAGCGTGACGTTGGTGRTGATGTGCCTTTGCAAGAAGGATCCAGTGTTGACATGCGTGACAATGAACACAATGGGAGTAGTGAACCAACAGATGTGTCCCCATCCCCTAGAGTGTCKTTGCGTGACGATGAAGGTGATAACATTCCTATGTCTCAAGAAGKATCACCATTATCTCACGATAAAGGAATGTCCTTGCGTGACGTTGAGCGTGACGGTCTTGACAACCCTWGCGACACAATCAAAGTCGAAGTTTCAAAAAATGAGGATATTTTGAATTCCTTTRATGACAKTRAAGTCAAAACAAATGATGCATTTGCTAATGGAGAAGTTATCGCTAAAGAAGAAGAGATGGCAGAAACGTCTGAAAAGGCTCAAATTAAGGAGCTCAATGACAGCTCTTGTGCTCTTGTTAAAGGGCAAGACGAAGATAAGTGTCCTGCAAAGACTCAGGATTCTCAAAATGAAGAAATGTCACGTACCCTTGATGCTAGCGGTTCATGCAATGAAGACCAGACAATTGAATACASGGTACARGATATACACAATGATGCATTAGATCCTGTGGARTCTATTACAAACACAGWTTTCGATGAACAGCAGCCTGAACAACAAACTTTACAAGCCTATGATGAAATTCTCGATGGAAACTACCCACCTATGTATCAAATGCAACCTGTTCCCTTACGTTTCACCCCACCTTGCCCCACTGGGATGCCWACAGCAGTCCCTGCAGGTTATGGCTTCTATCCCCCAATGGGGCCCATGATGCCTATGTTTTCCGGGCCTCCCTTTGTACCTTTCCCTGGAGTACCATATCCTGCACATCAAGGCTTTGTTCCATTTAGTGGTTTCCAACATCGATATCCTCTTCCTGGGCATGTTTTCCAGCAACCAACAATATACCATCAACAGGAACCAGATCTTGGATCACATAACGTGGTGCCTCCATCGGATATCCATCGTGAATCTCCAGATACATTAGGTATACCATTTCCAGATATTGATCGAATTGTGCCTGAGAAAACTAGCAGAAAAGSCCATGTTTCTGACTCGTACTCCACTACCTCTGATGAAACCAGTGAATCATCGACATACCTGGAAAACGAAGGCTTTGAGAATGCCTCTTCAAATGTCACTGTTTCTGATTCCTCTARGGAAGATCTACGAAGCGATAGAAGAAGAGTAAAAGAACGAAATTATAGTAAGCGTTCTCTTAAGGAAAAGCACAGCCCATTTAGGGAAGTATTGCATAAGGGAAAAGAGGTCAGAGCGAATAAGGAACGTGAAGACCAAAGCGGAAGTTATGGCACWAGGAAAGCTAAAGAGAAAGCAGGACAATCAAGGTCATCATTTTCAATGTCGCCTCGGGCATCTAAAACAAAATCATCTAAAGATTTGTCATTTGAAAACGAATCGAAGGGGAATCCATCCAAACCAAATAACTTCAGCAAACCACGATCATCGCCAAAATCTGGTCACGAAAGCACATCGTCGGAAAAGCCATCTTCGCTGAAGGAAACTAACAAGCGAAAGTCGCCAAGTAGGGACACCAGCAAAGACCAWAAGGAATCAAAAAAATCTGAAGTCAGTGCGAAGAAATCTGATGGATCACCCAAGAACATGCCATTGAAGTCCTCGCTAAGGGAATCTGASAAGAATGAGGTCCCATCGAAAGATCAAGAAGAACGAGGACTTACTTCAAAAATGTCTACTAATATTGCGAATTCAAATTCAAAGCCGTCCACACCAAGATCGGAAAGTAAATCTTCAAGCGCTGAAGGATCGCCAAAGAGTGAAGAGGAGCTAACRGGCTCATCAATAAAACAGAATGAAAGMACTTTTCCAAAATCAACCCAGGCTTCTTGCAAGAAAGCATCAGAGGATGAGGCAAAACTCAGAAAAGAAAACAAYATAACGAATGAAACAARAAAATCTCCAATATCTAACCACCCACAGCCATCCAAGCCCTCTCCCCYTAGGCCATCTAAAAGGGAATTTACCAAAGAGAAAAGATCTCAAAACGCCAATGATGATTTTCAACTAAGGGAGTATAATCATCACAGCTCAAAGAAGTCTACTGAGCGTACTCCTCCACGACAACCCACCCCAAAKGTGTCCAAGTTCGACGTGTCTCCAAAGTCCGATGATAGTGGACGCGAAAATAAGTACCCATACTCGTCAAAAAAGGCTGAAGGTCCATMTCAAAAATCAACACCTTCAAATGAATCTTCCACAGCTGAGGCACAAAGGTTTAGTGATCATGGAAGCGAAGTAAAGCACTCATATCAATCCAAGAAATTTGACAATGTACACCCAAAGTCGACGCCTCCGAGGCAGTCTAAYAAAWCARCATCCAGCAAGTCTTCGCCAAAGTCAAGTGGCAGTGGAAGTGATGCAGAACCTAAGAGTAAACTCTATGATAGTACTTTATCGCAAATAAACAAGACATCTTCTAGGAGAGATGAAAACGAATCATTAAAACCAAATATATCTTCATCAAAGTCTCCAATTTTGAAAACATCATCTTCATCGATGGAAAGTAAGCGTTTTGAGAACAKTGACACCAAGCAACCAAGACAAGAGGTCAACTCAGAAACATCTAGCAAAGGAAAACAAACAGARAACGRAGTGAAGACTACAAATCCYGCRGCCGACAAGCCGAAATCAATACAAGAAACTAAAGCCGAAGGAAAGACAACCTCACTTACACCTCAAAATAATGAGGCTGCTAGGAAGTTGAAATGGCCTCTTTCTGTTTGGTCAGGAGGTACAATAAAAGCACCACCCAAACCTCAGCGCGACCCACTAGCTAAAAGGAGAATCCGTGAATCTCAAACGAAATATTTCGTTAGTGGACCTGTGTCGGACAAAAAGTTCACAAAGACACCGTCTGCAATTTCAGAAAGTCATCGGGATAATTCGGGAAATAGCCGCGGTGTTTTGGAAAGCGGGAAAAAMCACAGTTCAGATATCCATCGAAATGTCCCAGAAGGCAATCGAAGCCCTTACAAGAAGACTGATTATGTGGCGAAGGGAACGTCTGTTTCAGAAGGTCATGGTAATAGTACACTTAAAGAAAACAACACAGAGCATAGAAATAATAGTATAATTGCTGAAAATAAAGGAAGCTCAAAACTGGACATTTCTGAGAAGGAAATTGARAAATCTAGTTCAAAAACAGCTAACTATAGGGACATTCTKGTTGGYAAAACGAATCCAGAGTCGACGYGCAATACAAATTCGAGTACAACGGAAGGTTCTTCGACGAACGGTTTCCGAAAAGGTGCAAAGGACTACAAGAAAAGCAACAAATCTGTTGAGAATCCAAATAATAATAATATTGCTGCACGTAAATTTACGGGAAATAGTCCYGTTAACACTTCAAGGTCAGACATAGAATGGAAAGATGGAAAGGCGAACTCAGAAAGACAAATCAATCAAGATACCAAGATCTCGAAATCGCACAAATATCAATCCCATCGGTGACAGTAATTTGTTTTGACATTCGTTTCATTGGGTCTTTTGTTGAACATTTTGTATTTGTGATTATCTTGGTAATCCATACACCGTAATTTTTTGAATGATATTATTTTCTTTGCCTATAAAGGAAAGTTCCTTGGAGCAGTCAATGAAATTCAAATAATTATGGTGTATCATTGAAGTTTGTTCTTTTCAAGTAATTATCTACGGAGAGATCCACCGTTTAGCAGTTTTGTTGCACTTGGGCCTTAAATTATTGATAATTTTTCTTTATATAAGATTCAGATGTATTATTTAGATAGCTATTTTTTAAAAAGGGTGGGTACTGATATAAATGATATTTCATTCAATTTCGATATTTTTGTTCAGCATAGTTTGTTCAGTAATTGCAAGCAATGCAATTAGCATACAGACAGAACTCGCTATTACGGACACTCTCGTTATTACGGACACCCTCAGCACTACGGACAACCTTCGTTCCGAGTTTTGGTGTCCGCCGACAACAGTGAGAGTAGAGATAGTTAGTTTTCCTTATTTTTGCGTTCATCGAGTATCCATGGCGTGTTATCAAATGTTATAGGAATAAATACGTAGATTTTCACGTTCCTGTTAAAATTTCATACTGCTGTAGTCTTGTWTATATACTTAAGTGTACATGCCACTTAACCTAAGCAGGGATTTTCACGGGAGTTTTATTGCATYCCCGAATTGCACTGCAAATTTTCCGTGGACAGATCACAGGTKTSCTGCCGCAAATTCCCTGAAACTTGTCGCTCTTCGAAAGTTGCAGGTTTTTTTGTATTTTTGTTGAATATTTATATAGTGTAAACACATTTATTAAATATAGTTCAATGAAGGTGATAAATTGTGTAATAATTAATACAATTTGTTTCACGGATTGAGTGTACACTCCAACAGAAGGATGTTTTTGTGATTTATTATATATTAGGAAATTTAATAAATTATGTTCATTTTCGGAAAGTATTTGATTTGTTTGTTCGGAATCATTTGAAAATTCATTCTCGAAACAAAAGATTTCCCCGTATTGCGCGGGATCCCTGTGTCAAAGCTGAACAAGATGGCGGCCGTCAACGTGTTGTTTTCATTCATGTTATGTGTTTTGTATCCTCTATGTATGGTTGAAGCAACAGTTACACCGCTTACAGCTCTGGACTTCCAAGAAAAAACTGCCGGCAGTCCTTATTTCGTAATGTTTTATGGGGATTGGTACGTTATTTTAAATTATCAGAAAGAATACTAACTTATTCTACAAGCTAAAAAGACAACTTTAGCTTTTAAAAGCTTACTTGCATAAGCGTAACTTAATTACTTTCTAAGCTTAACTCTTGTTGCTAACTGGCTTACATTCGAGCTAAACGCTTAGCAGAGACGTTCACATTTTCTTGTTGTATATCCAAAAGATATATATTCGACTTTTTCAATCAATAATTTTTAATACTGAACTGCCTTGAATGATCTAAAATAAATTGCCAATGAAATATGACATTTGGTGCAATATGATTGGACGATGGGTCATCTACATATCTTTTATATGCAGAAAACACTGATGTTCTTCAGAATAAATTAGGTTTATCCCATGTCATACTATATATTACAGTAGTTTTATATTGWATAAWTGTWTTTAAATKTTCTTTCAAAGGTGTGAACACTGTAAAAATCTAATGCCAGTATGGG